TTCTTCTTTTCCGACGTCGGTTTTTGTCCCGGGGATGCGAACGTGAAATCCGGGACTGACATGCTTTCCTCGGCAATTATGTGGCTTTGTGCCCGGACCAAAAATTCCTGGAAGGTACTGGGCTTGTTTTGGCACAACGCCCACCTGAACATCGACTTCGGCTTCAGCCCTGAAATAGCGCTCACCAAGAGTGTTTCAGGATGGCATGGCTCCATGTTTTGCACACGCTCGTTGAAACGGGCAACATACTCCTTCAAGCTCTCGTCGTCCTTCTGGACGATGTTCGTGATCGACTCCTTTGGGATCAAGAAAACTTGCGCTCCGATGAAATGGGAGCGGAACGCCGACCTGAGTTGAACCCAGCGTCGGATGGATTGCGCAGGCAGCGAGTAGTACCACTTCTGTGCTTTTGGCCCCAGAGTTAGGGAGAACATGCGGCACCTGAGGGCGTCGGTGGCCCCGTGTAGATCCATCCATGAAGTGTAATGCCCGAGGTGGGCGTCTGGGTCCGACGTTCCGTCGTACAGGCCGATTTGTGGGACTTTTATTTTCCCGGTCAGTGGCTCTAAAGTCAACTCGGGAGAGAGTGGGGAGTCCGTCTCCACGTACACGTGGCCGGTCTCTTGACTGCGTTGATTGGGGGGTGACCTCGCCCTCTGGTTTTGCAAAGTCTCAAGTTCGGCGACTCTCCTCCTTAAGGCCTCCATCTCGGGGTTGTCGTGCCTAGCCGTTCGGCCCCGCACTATCTGGTGCCGGAGGTCGGTTGGGTTTCCCGCCGTTCTGAACAAGGGTCTAGCGACGGCGGTTTCCCTCCGGGCATGTCCGGACTCGCTTTCTTCCGTCATTTCTTGCAAATCCTGCTCTTGGGGGTTCACCATCTGGGTTGGTTGTCGCTGGGTGGCGCCGTCCCTCGGTTGGGAGGTTGCGTGTGAGCGCGCTTGGTTGTTCACGCCCTGTTGCGGTGGTGCCGCCGGCCTGGCCGGGGTTATGGGCGCCAACGACTGACCTGGCACGGTTCTCGAGGCTCCCGGCATTGTCTGGGCCAGTAGTGTTGAGAAGCCTTTCGCAAACTCTGGGTTCTGCATAAGCGTAGCAAGGTCTGGTATTATGGCCGTATTGGCCCTACCAGTTGAAGGGATTGGACCGTGGCTGTCCCCTCCCCTTGTTGTTTGGTCATCTTGTCCTGATTGTGCCATCGTTGTTCGATTTCAAGTCAACGGTTTCAAAGGTAGATGCTGGATTCAAAGATTAACCTCAAGATATCTTATGAGGCCCTTCCTCTAGCGCCAAACTGTTGATAAACGGATTTGATCAACTTTTTGTATCTGAACTTTAAGATTAATGCGGTAACGAGACGATTTTATTGAATAACTGGAGAGTATTTAAGAAAACATCAAGTCGGTTTTTAAGGACTTGAGGTCGGTTTTTTTTACAGTGCAATGATATTAAAACTGGCGATAGCCGAGGTGATTAATGCAGAATTTATGTGTCGGGAAAAAGATCCTCGTATTGCCTTTATTGCTGCTATTTATAGTAACTGAGGGGCTCATCTTTTGAGGAGATTCGGCGGCATTTAATGCGGAATGACGTTTGCGCAGCCTTTTTGTCAGTGGGCCCCCTTCACGCAATGATGTCTCCACATGGGCCTTAAACAATCGATGGACAAGCATTAAATGCTGCCTGTCGGCTCCGACGTCGGCCTGCGCCCGAGGTTGCCTCGTTCTAGAGGTCGGCTCCCAGACAAGGTCGGCTTCCACAGGTCGGGCAGTATTTTCTCTGCACTCCTCGGCCAGGTCCCTTTACTTTCTCGTCATCCACGTGTCGTCCATCCAACGCTTGAGTGAATTGTTGTGTCAACAATTTTTACACACATTTTTTTGTCAATGATATTTATAAAAATATTTCTCCAAAATATTATATAAGTAAATTAATTTTAATGTATAAAATGTTTTATCTAATATATAAGCTTTTAGAAGCCCTACAAAGTTATCAGTCACACACAAATTTAAATATATGAAAAATCTTCTTTTAAGAAACAACATTTAACTAGTTACATGAATGTTCCGTTTTAATGTCTTCTATCAAATTTAATAAAATTAAGGATTAGATTGACTTTAATCAAAATCAATGATTCTTTTTCTTATTATATCATCTATTTCTGTCTTCTCATGTTCCCGCAAAGTATTTTTTCTTAGTTTTATTAATTGAGCATTAAAAAGAAGTCTTATCCTTCTCCTCTATGAGCAATAAAGAAAACAAAAGGAACAGAAAAGAAGTTGGGAAAAAAAAAAATGTTAAAACGAGAAATTAATTTGCCATTTTATTTTTCTTTTTAATATATTTTATCCTATGAAGCTGAAGGAAACTTCCATGTCATAATAATTGGCCTGAAAATGATCACGTGCTAATTCCAGCCAAAATTTGAGATTTCCAACAATCAAAGCTGCAGTAGAAATGCTGAACGATAGAGATATTCCTTAGGGAAATACTACGATGTGGAATCATTGCGTCGGAGTTTATAACCGTTAGATCATCATCTAACTGTCCAGAATAATTAATCTAACGGTTACAAACTCTGACAAAATTGTTGCGTAACAGAACCGTCTCCCTATTCCTTGATATGTAACGCGACAATTTAGGCCGCATTCGTATTTAATGAAGCCCCTCAACATCGACCAAGTTAAGACTAACTTCGTCATTTACTTTTACAACAATTCATGACAAATCATCAACAATAAATATGCATTCTCACGAGATTGACCCATTAATTCACAAAATCACAATTGTCCTGTTCCAGTTCATTAACTTAATTAATTAAAAACAGTACATATATTAAATTCAAGTTCATTCAGCCATTCATTCAGCCATTCATTCATAACTTAAGAAGTACGATGAACAGGTCTCCTCGACTGCACAGTAATCTCCCGCGCTCCCCAACAAATGGAATTTGGCACGCGACGATGACAACTGTTGTTGTAAATAATCAAAAAACCCGTCGTCTCTATCTGTGAAAAGAAAAAACGACGACATTGTGAAAAACAATAAATCAGACACACTTACAAATGTTAAAAAAAAA